ATCTGGAGGGTACCCAGGTAAGATATGCATGCTTAATTATGTTAGAAGTTGTTCTGCAAATTATATATGAGTCTGTTAAAACTCATAGGGAAAATTTAAGGGTTTGAGTGCAGCAAAAATATTAATATCCAACCCCTGGAGGCCCTAAAAATGTATTCTTTAATAAAATTAGCATGACGTTTATTTCTCAGAGTGGTAGCTATATTATTCTGGTGCAACCAACACGCACACACAAAGTATTATAGAACTGTAAGGACAATTCCGCACACATTTACCTGGGCGTAGGTTCTATTGAATTCAGTGGTCCTTACTTCTGAGTAAATCTGCGTCTGCTTGCACCACATAGGCTCCATGAAGGCTTATGCCACAACACCCTATGCTTCAAGGGAGAATTTGACTGGATTTGGTGCTAATTCCTCACCTTGCTGGAAAGTGATGTCCCTCAGCCGCTCTCAACCAGGGTAGTGAGATACCAACTTGATACGCATGGAACAAAATGGAAGGGAACAGAGGGAGACTGATACTCATCTCCTCATCTTGGCTTTTCAGGGTCTCTTTGTCCAGTGTTCTCGCTTTATGCATTGACTCCCTCAGGTGGATGCTGCTCCGCGTACGTTTTGCAGCACAGCCTTGAGCCACTGTGGCCTCGCCAACAGTTAAAGGCTAAGATTAAGCTTCAGCAATCCTTCCCCACAGATGTGAAAACAAGACAAGACAAGCACCACTTCTGGTGTGTGTTTTTTCCACAGGGAGAGGTGCCAGTTTCCCCATCTGCCCGGAAGGCCTGGCTTTGCGGCGCAGTGATGCGCAAGGGCCATGTCCACCTTGGCCCGCACCAGCACGCCTGGCTGTGGCTCTCGGAAACACCCCTGTGTGCTTGGCCTGCCCCTCTGCTCCGCTGCCTTCGCACGGTGCTTCACGTGCAGATGGGAGAGCGAGTTGCCTGCTCGGCCGCTGAGCCGCCGCGTCACGTGTGTCCGTTCCCACAAAGCGCTGCCTAGAATCATCTTGTGGCACAACCTGCCTGCAGCCCTAGAGCAGTGGAGACCATGGCCCTCAAGATGATGTTGGACTACCACTCCCATCACCCCTGGCCAGCACACCCTGGGGTACCGGGGCAATGGGAGCTATAGCCCCAACACCCCCTGCAGGGCCACAAGTGTGGGGCACAGCAGGGACATAAGAGAAGCTCTGCTGCATGAGGGCAGCCCTCTTGCAAATAAGAAATGAGCTGCCCCCTTGCATCCCACACAAGGCCACCAGCAGGATGGGAGGGCATTCAAAGGCATGCTGCAACCGCCCGCCCGCCCATCCCAGCGGTGTCTGCAGCAACACGAAGCACATGCTAGGATCTGCATGGTCCCACCGCTCACCATCTGAGCACCTCCTTTGACTGGGAAAGGGATCCACGCCCCTCCTGGGCATGGCCTTGTGCCTCCTGCCAAGCAAATGGCAGGGCGGGCTCACATTCCTGTGGGGTTTCCTTGCTTGAGAATCATGTATCTCATCCAATGGGTTGCAACAAGACTACAACTGCAGAATGCGCAGGGAAAGCAGGGAGGGCCATGGGAGAGCCCCACGTCTGGCACAGCAGGGGAAGGGCTGGGAGTCATGGCAGTGCTGCCCAGGCCCCTGGAGATGGCCTGACCTTGCTGCATGAGCACATCCCAGGGAGGCTGGTGACCCCTTATGTCAGTGGGGCTCCTCATCCCGGGCAGCTTTTATTCTGTGCTTTAAAAGAGCTGGTCATGGTGCTCCGTGGAGGCGAGCCAATTTGGGGGATGAAGTTCAGCACCATGGATAGCTACTACCTGGCTCAAAAGCATGCCGCAAGCTTTCTGAGGGACTCCCCTGTCTTGGAACCACCAGCCACCCCTCTAGCCCTTCACAGACTCCCCCCATAAACAAAACAAGACACTCAGGGGCTGTGGCTCAGAGGTAAAACTCCCGCCTGGCATGCAGAAGGTTCCAGGTTCAATCCCCAGCATTTCCAGCTAGGGAAGTATCCTGCCTGAAACCCAGAGAGCTGCTGCCAGTCAGAGTCTGTAATATTGGGGTCAACACACCAGTGATTGCTGCAATCTTGGTGGTATAAAGTCCAGCAGTCACACGGCTTGAGCCAGAGCTGGCAGCCATGCTGGGGGCTAGAACTCCTCTTGGCTGGCAAGGCAGGGGTTGGAGGAGTGGAAAGCTTTATGCAATGAAATACAGAGTGCCCTTCACAAGTTGGACATCATTTGGCCAATGGTTCTCAGTCCTTTGCCATGTTTTCTAAATTAGTCTGGGTTTCCTGGTTCTTGTGAGAAAATGAAAACACGCATGAGCAGTGTGAGGGTTTGTGCCGGCTAGCACTGCCTGCCGCTGCCGCCGCTTCGTGCGCTGGCCTTGCACTTCAGCAGCCACACATGGGAACTTAGGCAGAGAGAGCTCCTTGATGCACAAAGAAATCCTGTCTGGGGATCAACACGCAAGGCATTGCTACAGCGACCCACCCAATGACCGCGTGAGACAACCTCTCGCAGGTGAAACCCTCTGTAGCAAGAGAATTGCCACCTGCCTGCCGCTCTGTGGTGCTGGGCATGAACTGCGCCACAAGCCTGCCTGGATGGGGGCACAAGCTTGCTGTGGTGACTCTCCAGGGGAAGCCGCGGTGCAGAGCCATGTAAAGCTGTGCTCACAAACCAGTTCAGCTGCTGACTTCAACATGGAGCCCTTTCCCACCACACTACCCTCTCTGAGTCCCATGGACCTCAGAGTCATTGCTTTTGCTGTACAGAATCTTTTTATTGATAATAAATAATGCAATATATTACAGAAATCTAAATAATAGTACAGGTCGAAAATGAATTGCATTCATCTTCAGCTAGGGAAAAAGTGCAGTGAGGCATCGGCCAGTGCAAAAGTAGCTGTCTGCCCCACCACACGTAAGTAATAAGGCTTTGGAAGGAGCTAGCAGATATAAAATTCATTTGGGAGATTCCTGAAGCAACCGTCTTCTTTCTCCTCTTAGGCCTTGCATTTCCATGGTGCCCACCGGTTCAGTCACTGAAGTGGTCCCTAAGACTTCCTCTGTCTCTGTAGGATTGCCAACTAACCTGAAGGCAAAACACACCACTGCCTGAAAGTTTGGGGAATGGGGCTATTGCACATATGTGTTTGCTTGCTTTTGGGGATGCAGCTAAGTTTTTGACCGGATTTATATGTTACAACAAGCCACACAGTGCAAAAAGTGATTTAGTGTTGCTTGCTTGCCCCAATGCCTGCAACATGCCAACAGATGTCAGACACACCAGCAGTCCCGAGGTGTGTCCTCCCCAGCCTTCATCCCGGGAGCACCCAGCGCAGCAGAGGGGATGACAACTGCCTAAAAGCACTCACTCACGTGGCACCAACAGAGCCTCCTTGGCTTCCAGCCCAGCACAGGGCCGCTCACCCCCACCTGCCCTTGCAGGGCCCAGCTGCCACTCAACTGAGGAGCGACTTGCCCAGCTAAAGGATGAGCAGGTGAGAAGATTATGGCTGCTCTCCCCTCTGCCATAGGGGTGACTGGCATGCCAGGCCGGGGGCGGGGGATTCTCTTGCGCTTACTGCTGGATAGACTCAGAGAATGCACCTCCCCGCCCTCACCTGTTGTGTGGATTCTTGCACAGGGCAATTGGTGTTGCTCTGGGTGGACCCGGGAAACGCATCTCTTCCTCCACCTGGCAGGACCAGGATGTCAGACGCAGAGAGGAATGAGCCATCTCTGTCCTCCGGCCCAGCCTGCCCCTCAGCCATGGGGAGATCAGAGCTGCAGCCTGCAGCGGGAGGAGCCGCGCTCTCCCGGGCCTCCCTCCAGCTCGCCCCAGGAGAACCCTTTTCTCTCACCCCGCCCTTTGGCAACCCTGTCACTTCCTGCAGCAGCCAGACGTTGGCTAGGGTGACGTGCTTTTTTGTTTTTAAAGTAAAGTTGGGTTTTCCAAGCAAGAATCAATTGTGCCATATTAACTCAGCACACGTTCTGCCCTTGAAATGCAGCACCCGCCCACACGCCTGCCTTCGAGAGCAGAGCCGAGTGCTCGGCCGCACGTGGAGCCGCACGAGTTGGCAGCGCACGTGCGCAGGCACCCTCCGCAAGGAGCCCCGCATCCTGCTTTACGGAAGAGCATCCTTTATTCAAAGTGCTGTCCAGTCCAAGTCCACACCTGCTTCCTTTCCGCTTCCTTTCCAGATAGGTTGCTCCCAAAGAGCCTGTGATGAGCCTAAAAACAAGACTTCACTGTGTGGGGGCTCTCATGAGAATGCGCACAGCCTCAACACAGAACCAGAGTCAAATGTCTTTCTTCTTTCCCAGAAGCCCATATGTGACCCCATCTGGAATTCATGGCAAAATTTATACTGTATCGTGGACTGATTGTACTAAATATCTTAAAAAGCTAGCGGCAGCCATGGTTTCCTTTATGAAACTGGAGCAGATCACCTTTCCCCCAAACCTGAAAGCTCAGAGAACTGGCAGGAGGGGAGGGGGTGGCTTGCTCTGGCCCCCCACCAGGAAGTCAAAGGCACATAGCTAAGCAATGATGAAAAACCCTGCCCTGTTGCACAGGTCCACGTTCCAGGCCCAGATCTAGAAGACCTCCAAATGTTTGCAGGAGCCCAAGGGATCAAGACCCTATCCTTGTTGCCAGGTGTTACAGTTGTGTGCATCATTTGCACAACGGAGGATGGTGGAATGGACCATTCTTCGGCCGCGGTTTCCCCTGCGCACTCGCAGGCACGGATGGCCACGTGTTCACAACAGTTATTTACACAAGTGATGTCTCCCCCACTCGATAGAGTCATAGAATAGCAGGGCTGGAAGGGGCCAAGTAGGCCATCGGCCCCAACCCCCCGCTGGTGCAGGACCCCGAGTCTTCTGCACTAGCAGAACTATGTGTTCTTTGGTTTGCAAGGGATGCAGTCAGAGTCAGAGGGCACTGGGGGCGTGATGTTCATCTCCTCCTCTTCCAGAGCACTTTCATTCATGGGGAGGACATTTCCATGCTTTTCTCTTTATCTTCCCACTCTTCTTCTGATTCATAGGTACCTTTCACAATTGCTACTCGCTCATTCATATTCATTGAGTGGGGCAAGAGGAAGTAGTTGTAAAGCAGAGAGGCCAGGATCCCTCCGCAGATGGGGCCTACCCAGAAGACCTGGAAAAGACAATGGAAGGGATGAGAAACTTGAGGGGATGCTCAGACTTCTCCTGGCACCAGTTTGGCTAGAGATGATCAAGGTTATGGACCCATCTTCTGAGATATTTGTAATGCCACCAATCCTTGATTGCTCCAACAGAGCCCTCCCAATCTTGCTGGACTACAACCCCCATCACCCTTCACTATTGGGTATGCTGACTGAGGACTGATGGGCATTACAGTTGAACAAGCTCTGGTAGGTTACAAGTTTCCTAGCCCTCTCTTAACCCACTGCATTGGTGCGAATCTTTCTTTGTTCTGCTTTAAACTGAAGATTTTACAGTAAGAATTGCTGTGGAATTTTATTTTATGCTTCCAGCTTTAGTTAGTAAACCCTCCAGAAGACTTTGGTGAAAGGGCATTATGGAGATAAAATAAATGAATAAAAGAATTAGAGGTTTTGGAGCCAGTGTATGCTTTCTTTCTATGGCAAATTGTATCAGGTTACCTGCTCTCTCTAGCATATTATTTTTGCAGCTTCTGTTTTGCCTGCATCCACCTGTTGAGCAGCCACGCTGCCTCCTTGCAGAAGTGGTAGCAACTCCTGTACATGCCTGCCATTTGTTTATTAGTAATTTGTCAAAGATATATAGGGGCCATTTTTGGACTTCAGGTGTCACTTGAATTGGAAGGATGCCGTCACTGTGCTTGTCCTCGGGATGTAGTACAGGAAGGCGTGAATCCACCCACAAAGAGGCAAGGCAACTCCTCGCCTACAATTCATAACAGAAGAGCAATTTCTTCCTCTTCGGCTGGCCAGTTTAAGCCATAACACAGGAATTACAGCCAAGGTGGCCTCAGGCCTTCTGTACGGATGCCTCTGAACTTAAGCAAATCGCAGTGGCTCCTGCTTCGGTGCAACCGCTGATCAATTCTGTAGGAAGCAAAATGAGTTTTGCTGAAACTAAGCAGCAAGTATCAAGGGCATGGCCCCTGCGTGCTCCCAGGCGGCCCCCAGCTCCTCACGCAAGCAAAGTTGCATGGCAAATGTGGAAGTGCCCAGTTGGACTCCGAAAGGCAAGAGAGTCTAAGAGAAGCAAAAGCAGTTTTCATCAGACTGTTTAAATCTTGAGGGGCGTTCTGCATGGCCCAAGATTTTCCAACTCAATGTGTCTGAGATCCCCAGTCGAGCTGTGATGGGGGTGTACGGGAGGGTGGCCAAGCTCTAGCTCCCCTTGCTATCTTGCTCGGTGGGGACTGTCAGGCACCCCAAGGGGAAACATTCGATGCGTCTTACCCAGTGAATAGGGGTGAATCGTTTCATGACAACAGCAGGCCCAAAAGACCTGGCAGGATTCATAGAGCAGCCCGTAAAATAAATCTGTGGAGGGAGGAGGAAACAATGTGAGCGCAGCAGCTAAATTTTTCTAGTAACCGCATTGTGGCTTCCACCTGTCAACCCATCAGCTTTTCTCCCTCCTTCCCCCGAAGTGTCAACTGCAGATTTGCCCTTTATCTGGCACCTTCCATGCCAGACTTGTTGCATTGTCTTGGAAAATGCCGCAGGGAGTTCCCTGCAGTGGGTCACTGCTAAAAAAGTTTCCTGCAAAATGTTTGCTATGAGCAGAAAAGGGTAGAAAGCACATGCCAAAGAAGAGGTGCCGTCGGGGGACAGGAATGGGGGCCTTGCTTGCCCCCCATGCTCACAGAGGCAACTAGCGCAGTGTGGGCTGGTGGTGGTGATGGGGAGTCAAGTCTTCTGATTCCTACTGATTATAACTCTTACCCAGAGCCTTCACTGCACAACAGGGACTTTAGGTTAGAGTTGTTATTCTGATTCAGCTTGCTTTGTTTTCTCTTCTGGTTAAAAGGAGCCGGTCGGTAAGTAGCAGGGGTGAGGAAGATCCTTGGCGCATACAGCTCTGTCCTCAAGTGGCACGTGATCAGAAAGGTGCCAGGTTATTTTGTGCTAATTAAGCCAACGGTTTAGGGGCAGACCACTTGTCTTCTCACTCAGTGTTGCCAAACTGACTTGCAAGGGCTTTTCCAAGGCTTCTGGCAGGGGTGAGTCTTCCCGGCTCTGCTTGGAGATGCCAGGGGCTGACTCTGCCGCCTTCCACATGCAGAAGAGGTGCTTTGCCTTTGAACTTCAGCCCCTCTTCTCTGCCTCCAGTCCTAGACCGTGGCTGTCAGTTTGAGCAGACAACATTAGGCTACACAGAGAAAGATCAAGAGCCTGTGCAGCACAGGGGTGAGAGTCTTGGACTAGGACCCAGGAGGTCCAGGTCCCAGCCCCCACTCAGCTGTGAGGCTCACAAGGTGACTTTGGGCCAGTCACTGATGCTCAGTCTCGCCACCTACTTCCCAGGGATGCAGTCAGGCTGACATGGGGAGGAGGAAGATGGTGGAAACTGCCTTAGGCTCCTTGGAGGAAAGCAGGGAGGAAATAAATACAGTGATAAACAAGAGCCCCTGCTCTGAGGTGTCTTGAGGGTCCCCCAGTGTTAGGATCCCTCCCTCTCAATCTCCCTCCCTCCCTCTTGCTTTGTTTTTGCACAAAAGCTGGGCGCCTTAGTAGCAACACTCACCCCAACCAAGTGGCCCAAGGTGACAGACAAACCGATGGACAGAGCGGGGGAGCCCACATTGTCGTTTCGGCGGCCGTCGGTCGAAGCGAAAATGCACATGACCAGCTGGAAGGTGAGGATCATCTCCACCACCACTGCCTGGCCCGCGGTCGTGTTGTTGCTGAGCTGTCAGGAGGGAAGGTGCAGAGGGTTAGCCAGCAATCATCCCGCGTGTTCCTTAACGAGAGGAAGCTGACATGTGACATCGAGGGGAGCCACTTCAGGAGGGCAGAACTCGCAGGAAAGGCCTGCAAGGGCTTTGTGGATTCCACTGGATTCCAGACGGCAACCTGCATTTTGAGCTATTCTGTGCATGCTGCGGGGAGGGGGGTTACCTCATGCAAAATAAACAGTTCAGTTCATGGAGCAGCAATAGAACCAGCTCTGAATTTTATTCCACCTGCCGAAATAATGACTACTGTGGAAAAAATACATTTTTTTTTAAAGGGAAGAATCCATCCCTCTGTCTATTTTCATCTCCCTTTCATTTCTTGCATTTCTCACCCCTTTCTTGCTGATGTCACACATTATCTGACTGACCCAACAGCGAGATATTTCCCCCTTGGCTATCAGTCTGTCTATTTCCAAATTGCCTTCAAAGCAACTGCTGCCTGTCAAAAAGCACTGCAGGTGGAAACTGTGGAACCACCGGGAGCAAATGCAAGGATGTTTAAACAGCCTGCTTGACCTATAAATGCATCTCAAGCTCATATTTCCCACAAGAGATTTTGGCTTGAACTGCAGGCATTCGGGATCTAGCTTTGATGGGGTGCAGGCAAAGAGATGTGTGTCTTCTGGGCAGGGACTTTGGATATTTGCAATGCAGATATATCAGGTTTGTAATGCAAGTATAATCAATAAAGCCCTGTGTGGTTCAGAAGGCGCATCTGCATTACAAAGGCCTCTCCTTAGCTTTCTCTTGTATGGGAAGGATAATTAACTAAATTGCACTGAAGCGGCTCAAGGGGGCAATTTCATCCTGATGAGCGGAACATGAAGTCCTTAGTACTGTCTCTGCACCACCCACATGCCAACTAAACAGTTCATGTGGCTGCAGTAAGACAGGTGCTGCTGCAAACCGAGGAAATGAGGGGCTTTGTGGACACCCTTGGCCCTTTCAAAGCACCAGGTAACCGGTGTCCACACTGCAGTTCCTCTCTATGGCAAGTTGGTGCTTCTTACAACAGACACCTCATATTTGCAGCTGCTTTTAATTCCGACCCACATGCTCTTCCAAAGCAACCTTCCCCAACCTGGTGCCGAAGGCCACTCTGGCTTGGATATGATGTGGGTTGTAGTCTGACCCATCTGGAGAGGACCAGGTAAGAGAAGGCTGCTCTGAGTCTGCACCTGCTCCCAGGATCCTCCTGGTGCCAGCTCAGCCGGGCTGCCCTCTTTTGGGCTCATCCGTCAGCCACTCAAGCCAGCACTGAGCCCCCTTTGGCCAAAGGGCATCATGCTGGATTGTGAGCTTCCACAAGGACCTCAGGAAACCTGCATGCAGAAGTGGGGAATGCGGCACGTCCAGAGGAGTCGCACGCATGTGCCTGCCTGCCTCCGGTGCATGCATGCTCACTGAATGCTGCATGGCCGAGTCCCCTGGTCTTGAAGCACAGCCTTTCAAGCAGCACACAGAGCACAGTGGGAAAGCCCCATGAATTGTTCTTCCTGAAAAGATCGATGCCTTGTGCACAGCACAGCACAGCACAGCACAGCACACACTCCTCTGCCTGCCTTCCCAGGAGGTCTCAAGGCGAAGGACAGCTCTGCAGCACGGCACATGGGAAGCCATGTAGGAGCATTCCAAAACATCCCCAAAGCCCCCTAAAAGACACCCATAATCCCGGACATTCCCCACCAGCACCTCCCAATCCTTCTTCAGTGGGCAAAGCTGGGGTTACAGATTCCTAACTTTCCTAAAATTGATCCACTCACCGACTTAGTATATGAGCAGCCTCTGGAAGAAACGTAGCTTAGTGAATTAGTCTGCCACGCCACAAACAGCTGGGTGCATCTGCCATGTGAGAGCCTATCGTACTCTGCAGTGCAAGGCACAAGCGGAATCTCCTGAGCCAGAAGCCAGCTGGGATCAGAGTCGCTGCCCCTGAGCCTTAGGTCTCTCCTGAGATGCGATGCCCCTTACGGGCATGCCTGAGCATTCGAGAACGCCTCCGCGGAGGTGCCCAGCTGAGAAGCCATCACTTCCCCAGTCACAGAAAACACTTACCCCATTGACAGCCAAGTTGCCACGGGCATTGCTGGGAGTCACCCCATAAAGGATGCCTGCGCCAGCAATGGCCCCCACCAGCTGGGCCGCGATGTAAAACAACATCCGGAGAAAGGAGATCTGGTTCCCCACGAAGAAGGCGATGGTCACGGCTGGGTTGAAGTTGCCCCCGCTGATGTGGCCAAACGCCTGCACCATGGTGCCGATGGCCAAGCCGAAAGCCAGGGCGATCTGGAAGACAGTCGGCAGGGCCGAAGGCCACTTGAGGGCTGAGCCCAGGCCGAAGAAGACAAAAATCATGGTGCCTAAGAACTCGCAGAAGACGGCTCGGAGGAAAGCGATGGTGCAGACCTCTTTCCGCATGGTGGGTGGGAGCAGGTGAAGTGGCACTGGGAGCTTGCAGGTTTCTCCTGTGCAAAGGATCTGCGGGCTGTAGCAAAAAAGGGCCCTACAGATATATATATTCTGCAGGTGTAGCAAGGAGGGATTGCACAGAGGGGAGGGTGGGGCCAAGATGCTGGCCAGGCCTCCTCCTCATCCCTCCCCGCCTGTTCCTGGGCAGCTTGGAAACTTTCCATCTTCAGACAACTTCTCAACCTCCCTCTTTTGTAGGCTTCCATTTGGGTGCTGAGTTTCTTTTTTTCTCCTCCAGACAAAGGGGGCCCTATTGAATGGCCCTGCTGTCATTAAGCAGGCACGATCTTGCATAACGACATCGAGATTAGCACCTTGGCAGTTCACCCTGCCTCCTGCCTTCCGATCCCGCACTTCACCATTTCAAAAAGCAAAGAAAACCTTTTAGGGCCGTCATGTATGATCCCTTTAATATGCCTCGTTCTTCGCTGCTTCTTTCTCTTCCTGAGGAGGGGGAAGTGGTTGGGCAATCACTGTGCAGAACTGGATCCACCAGTGCACCGAAGTTTATGAGCATCTCTTGATCGCCGGGGCTGTTGTGCATTTGCCCTGGAGAGCCGGGAAGCCAACCTGTTTGCCCTGTGTGCCTCCTGGTAAAAAGCTAGGCAGCTTGCAAGAGGGCTGTGAGCACAGGCGGCACCTTGGAACCCGATGCGCCGCAAACCGCGCCCGCAGTGTAGGGGCTCAGCACAAAGGGTTCGCTTGGCTGATAGCCTGGGGAAAAGCAAACCTGGGAGAAGCGCGGCACCGGGAGCACTTGTGGGCTTCAAAATCAGAGAGTGTCTCCAGCTGCTCCAAAGGCAGCAGCTTCCTTCTAACCCAACAGCTGGGTTATTTCAGCTGAAGCCGGCTGTTTCCTCGGGAAAATCTTCTGCCTGTGCTTGTCTTAGCATCTGGGGGACGTTTGCACAGACTTGCAGGCTGCCCATCTGGAGAGGAGCATTTCGTCGCGGTCTTTGCTTTGCAGAAGCCGGGTGGGGGGCGTGTGTGTGGTGTGCCAGGTGTGAGAGAGATTGATAGGGGCCCTGCAACAGTCTGGGGATAGGATCAGCTGAACCGATGGAAACCGAAGGGAGCAACTAAGATCTAGGATTAGGTTCTTGCCTATTGATCTGTCCTAATTAGGAGGTTTGTGCAGCAGATCCAGAGGAAGAGATGATGCAAGGAGAGTGCATTTTTTTCTCTTGTTCTGCTTCCCTCATCTAAATCCCCTGCAAGACTACACCTAGGAAACACGGGGTGCCCACAACGGCAACATGTCTCCTGCCGAACTAGTAACAGGTGTACATGACAGCAATCTGGACTGGGGAAAAAGCACGGAGGGGCTTTCCTGCACAGCATCACTTCCTCCGCCTTCAAAACTGCGGCAGACAGCCACTGCGGTATTCCTTTGTGTGCACAGGTGTGTGTGCACAGGTGGGTGTGCACAGGTGGGTGTGCACATGTGTGCTCATTTTGAAGAGGGAGATCCTCCTGGCAGGTTCTCTGTGATGTGTCTGGTTTGATCCTGAGAATACACACAAATGTTTATATTGGAATTGCTCTTCTGGCAGTGAAATATTTGACATTGGTTGAGCTGACTGGTGGGGTGGCATGGGATATTCAGGTGTACAGGGAAAGAAACGGATCGCAATTTGCCTTCTGTGAGGGTAGGGAGGTTGTCAGTTTGGCTGGGATTAAACTCTCATAGAGGGGCTGAGATCCAACTGTTTCTTTGCTAAATTATCTATCACTTAGGAAGTATATCCTCCCAACATCAATCCTGTGAGGCAGGCTGCCAGAATGCCCATTTTACAGATGAGGAACTGAGGCTGAGCAGCAGTGCTTAGTCAATACTGCACATCTGGTGCCTGAACAAGAACCTGAGCTCACGACTCCCAGATCCAGCAAACCAAGATACGGGACAGAAGATGAAACAGATGGGATGGGAAATGTCACAGGCAGAAGAGGACTAGAATGGACATGGGGAGGCCATAGGAGTTTTTAAACTGAGAGAGGATGGTAGCACGAATGTGCCTGGCAATCCATGAAGGGCCAAGAGAACAGATTTGACAAAATCTGCCCATCCCTGATCGTTAGTGGGTTGTGTATGGTTCGAGAGAGTGGCTGCAGGTGACCGCACCAAAGGCAGGCAGCAGGTGAGCACCGATGACGCGGCTTGTGCAGAATGCCGATCGTGTGCCAGAAAACACATGCCTGACTGCTGCTCCACTCTAATCTTTTCGGAGCCCTAATGCTGAGCAAGTCGACAATGCTCTCACAGTACAATGCTAGGAATGTCAGAGCAATCGGCAAAACACCCAGATGAGTTTGGATTTCATGAATCTGACCCACAGATTCCACAGCCGCCCAGTTTTACCTGAGTTGTGCAGATTCTATGAACTTAGAAGGATTTAAAAAAAACCTTTCTGTAATTTTATACCAATTTAGTCCTAGACAACACAACTGGACTACGTGTATACTACTATACAGCATATAACTAGTCTAGGTTATACCAAAACAATCAAAACCAACCAAAAATCCGGCTTCCCCTATAGTCTGAAGCACAAAAATGCATATTGCTCACAATTTTTGAAGGACAGATTTGTCCAAGGATGACTTTATTATTTATTTATTTATTTAAAACATTTCTATGCCGCCCCATTTGCCGAAGCCTCGGGGTGGCTCACAACATAAATTAAAATATAATACATTCAAAATATAAAACAAATTAACAATATAAAATAAGTCGCCCTGGCCAAACACATGTGAACACATTTGCACAAAGCCCAATTCTATCAATGAGCAGCTGATGGAAAGAAAGGTACCTGATCATCAGCTAAGACAGACTGATCAAATTTTGCAAATTTTACACTCCTATAGAATACATGTCTCTGTGTGCACAGTATAGGTGGAATCTGCACAATTCACACGTTACTGCTCTATGACTAATTTTGCCTTCTTTTCATCAAGGCTGCCTGCCTTCTGCTTTCCAGCTGGCAGGAGACCGAGATATAATGGCTCCAAGAGATCCTAAAGATGCAATGGTAGAGCAAGTTTGGCGCGCTAGATTAGGCAGGGATGTTGAATCCCTTTCAGCTCATGGGCTAAACTTAGCTTTGGAGAAACTCTCAGGATGGGAAACTGACATGCAAAAGCCAGGAATCCTCTAAATGATCAGTGACCAGAGGAATGGGGAAAGGGGCGGGCTAAGGAACTACAGAGAACATTCTTAATGGTCTTTTACCATCTGTTGGACTGTTGCAGGATAAAATGTATTTTATCATCTGGTGGACATTGCAGACCAGATCGGTGGTCCTGTATTTGTGGAACTCCCTCAGTCAAGACATGAGTTTAGCCCTACCAGTGCTGGTGGTTAAGTTGACTTTGAAGCCACCTTTCCTTTGAGCTGTTCTAATTACGATAAAATGCTGAATGGTCTCAATGGCTTTTCATTGCCACTGAAAAGTTTTGTGATGGTTAGATTCTATTGCTTGTTTTAGAGTGTCACCCTATACTGTTTTACTCAGAACTAAGTCCCTGTTGAAGTCAATGGGGCTTACTTCCAAGTAAGTCGTATAAGATGGCAGTTTGCATTGTCCGTTCTGGTTCGTCCTATGTCCATTTTTTAAAAAACACACAAGCTCTGTTTGCAGTTTTATGAAGAAAACTGTGAAACTCGGTAAGTTCTTTTCCAAAACCTGGTGCAAAAACTGAGCCGGTCCTAATGGCACTTCTTTTGGCCTTACTCAGACTCTGTTCCCTGCCCTTGACCATCAAGAAGAGCAGCGGCGTTATCATGGAAATGGAGGAGGCTGGTAGGTTAATTACCCCTTCCCTATGGAAGTGAAGCTGCCGGACAGGTTTGCATGTCGAATTAGGAGGATGGGGCAAATAGGTCGCTGGAAAGCAGCTTGCAAGCCCAGGTGCCTGTAACAGCTGCTGGTTCTTGCCAGGGGTGGAACTGAGGCCGGGATACGCCCAGTGACTCAACTAGGCAACACAATGTGCACAGGAGCACAGAGTCCACCCATTGCCACCCCAGTGCAACATCCTGCCATGGGGTAAAGTCAGGCCCGTCATCCCCCCTCCCAGCCTTTTACACCCCTTGCAGTGTTGGCAGTGCCTGCGTAATCCTGACGAGAGGACTCAGAGCAAGCGCTGTGCGTACAAGGGCGCACGGAGCGGAGATGCCTCTAGGATTGCTCACGCAGGCCAAGCAGCTCACCTGCTGCCGGGTCATCGGGGAAATGAAATCCCCTGGCCTGGTGGCCAGTGTGGCCTGAGGGAAGTGTGACCCCAAGGAGGGCGACCTGGAAATCCATGCGTGGCACCACGGTCTCCCTGGCAAGCAGCAGCCTTCAGATCTTGCCTGCTCCTCGTTCCTGAGAGAAAGGGAAGAGGGCCAAGGTGGTGTGCGCAACACTGCGGGACAGGGAGAGAAGTGGACCTTTCTGAGTCCCAGGTGGGCACAGCTGGGGCTTCCGAAGAGAGGTCCTCTGGCCTTGATGCACAGCTGCCTCCAACCCTGTGAGGGCCCGCAGTCTCGCCAGAGGAAAAGGGACGAGCGGGGCTGCAGGCTGGAGGCACCCAATGTGGGCGGCAGCAACCTGTGAGGGTGCATCAGCGACTCGCTCTCTGGGGAGAAATGGCGGGTGGGGGCAAGCAGGCCAGGCCCTGGACCTTCTCTTGGGGATTCCCACCTGCTCACCTCCTGCTTCTCCCGCTCTGCAGTTGCTGTACATGCAAAATTGGCCAGCATCACCAAAGAAGAGGGCAAAGGGAGATGAAGAGGCGCATAACGTGTGCACATACTAACAGATAGGTCTTGATTAGGGATCTAGACTTGGAATTTTGGACGTAATCACTATCATGTAAACAATACATCTCATCATGCAGACCTGCGGCCCTGTTTAGTCTGCAGGCAAAATCCCAGCAGCCTTCACTTCCACCAAGTCATTTGCACAATG